CTTACATTGTCTCAATTCTGTATCTCGTTCTCTCTCTCGTTTACTCTTTCGTTAACTAGTTGACTCTCATTGATGATGGCATCTAAGGTTAGCTGTGATAAAAAGAGAAGTCGTAAGCCTCTTGCTTTAAGTGCCAACTTAGAGGATGATGGTGTGCCATTCTGATTTTATTCAATAAACACCCTGCCACTCACCTCTCACACATTAATATTAATACACCTACCATCCGACATACGACCTGCTCGACTTACGACCACTTGACTTACGACCGTGTTTTTTATGCCAAATTTCTGGGAAATAAACAACTATTTGTATTTGTGTTGTACAGAGTGTTTATCCTGAACCTTACAGTATAAAATACAGTACTAACAACATAAAAAGTAAAGTAAAACATGAAATACCAAAATAAAACAATAAAATAAAGTTATTACAAAAATGTTTTGTTGATATTCAGTAGTAAAGTTCGACTTACGACCATTTCGACTTACAACCGGTTTCTCGGAACCGAACTCGGTCATAAGTCGTATGGTAGATGTATTTTAAGGTAAGTAATAAGTGTACTCTGTGTGTATCTTACCTTTTATTGTGTTTTTTATGCCTATTTCTATTGCTAACCTAATGTAAGTTAGTGTAAACTTGTTGTCTGGCATTTATTGCATATTTTATATGCTCTGTTAAAAATAATTGTGGAGCTGTATGGTAGCCGGGTGGAGGGACAACATTACGTTTTCTCTGCTCAGCCATCAGAAAAAACATGTATGAATCTGCGTTTGGCCCAGCCACTCCCTCACTCCGCTTATGTTTACAATTTTCAGCATGAATTATTCATTAATTCTACATTCGTTTATGATGGCATCTAAAGATAGTTGTTAGAAACGATTAAATTCAGTGAACACGTTATGTCGATGTTAATAATATAGCTCTGGGCCACAGTGTAGGTAGCGTGTAGGTGTAGCCCAGGCGGATACACCTACCGGCTACCTACACTGACTTCCTACAAATAAATACTACTCACCTCTCTTCCTATATTAAGACTACACATATTTTAAGGTAAATGATGAGTGTACTGTATGTGTATTTTACCTCACTGGGATGTTTTAAATATCGTATATTAAGTATGAGACGGGAGCCAGGGCTACCTACACCTGGGCTACCTGCACCTGCTCCCATAAAACCTGGAACCTGCACCTGACTTCCTACAATAAGTACTACTCACTTCTCTCTCTACATTAAGATTACAAATACTTTAAGATAAGTAATGAATTTACTGTGAATGTATTTTTCCTTTTTTGGTTTTTAATGCCTAGTTCTATTACTAACCTAATATAATTTAGTGTAAACTTTGTTGTCTGGCAATTTATATGCATTATAAATGGAAAAAATGGCGTTCTGCCTTCCGGCGATGTCTGCTTTCCGGCAACAGCCTGGAACCTAACCGCCGTATTAGTGGGGCCCTACTGTACATGGTATATAGAACTAGCTGACATCAATGACATAACTACTACATAGAAGCGCTTTGCTATGATGAGCATTTAGGGCAAGTAAGGACAGTTTTGTTGCAGGATGCGATCCACACCAGTCCACTAACACCCCAAATGCCCCTTTTATACTGATGGGCCAACAAGGGGCAAGACAGCGGTCTTATGGAACACTCCCTAATCTTTTCCATCCCTACCGAAGGGGTTGGGAAATCTGACCCCATTTTGTGAGCTGAGTGTGCTAGTGATCCAGCTATGGGAAAACCATAAAATATTATTATTATTTATTATTATTATTATTTTTTATTATTATTATTATTATAAAAGACAATTTCCCCCACTATTAACCTTCAAGTGTAAATAATTGCTACATTTAGCTACAAAATAATATAGGCCAATGAGGGGCCTAAATTACAGCCCAGGAAGACAAAAAACTCAAAATATGACCATATATTGTAAAAAATGATCCACACTCTAAGAAATATATATTCAAATTCAAAGTTTATTCTCTATAACGATTACAATGCTGAGTTTACAGAATTTGGTTATTGTGTGTTTTACATATAGTAAAATACTAATTACAGAGGGGGCCACTAGAACACCTAGCATGGCTAGGCATTTCGGGCAGCCTTAGATTAATTCTTAACTTTAAAATATTACAAATTATGAGGTAAGTTGGTTTTATGGCTAAGTGACTAAATACTAGTTTGTGAGTTAAGCAACGTGAATGCTTTTGTTTTGGCACAATACATAGTTTCAGTATTGGAGTATCACAGGCCAACTTATGACTAGTTAGCATTCATTATTTTAAGATTGAGATTGATATTTCTGTTTATGGTCAAATGGGAGTGAGTGTAAGTGTGAACCACCAGGTGGTATTCGTGTAATTAGTTGACAGGGTGTATCAGGGAGATAAGATGTTTTCTAATGGTAGTTTTGAAGGTGATGAATGTGTCTGCAGTTCTGGAGTTCTCAGGTAGGGTGTTCCATATTTTAGGGCCTTTGACATACATTGAATTTTTGTAAAGGTTTAGTCGGACACGGGGAATGTCATAGAGATGTTTGTGTCTGGTGTTATGCCTGTGGGTTCTGTCACAACTATCATGAAAGTGTTTTAGGTCAAGGTTAATATTGGAATTTAAGGTCCTGTAGATGTAGATTGCACAGTAGTAAGTGTGGATGTACTGAACAGGGAGTAAGTTTAGATCTATGAAGAGTGGGGGGGGGTGTTGCCAGGGATGGGATTTAGTGATTATTCTTACTGCAGCTTTTTGTTGGGTTATTATTGGCTTTAGGTGTGTTGCTGCAGTTGATCCCCAAGTACAAATAGCATAGGTGAGATATGGATAAATAAGTGAGTGGTATAGTGTGAGAAGGGCATTTTGCAGCACGTAGTATCCTATCTTGGAGAGAATCACAACTGTTTTCGATACTTTTTTGGTTATGTGTTGGATATGGGTGCTGAAATTCAGGTTGTTGTCAAGGTATAGGCCTAGGAATTTCCCCTCATTATGTCTGGCAATTAGAGTGTTGTCGATCTCAATGTTAATTTGCGCAACTCCTGCTCTGCTACCAAACATAATATAGTAGGTTTTGTCAGAGTTAAGCCTAAGTTTATTGGCTGTCATCCAAGTCGATATTTTGATCAGCTCCTCATTAACAATGGTATTGAGGGTGGCAAGATTAGGGTGAGAGATGACATAAGTCGTGTCGTCAGCAAAGAGAATGGGGTTCAGGTGTTGGGATACGTTTGGAAGATCATTGATGTATATGAGGAAGAGCAGGGGACCAAGGATACTTCCCTGTGGAACTCCAGTATCAAGTGGCCGTGTTGTTGATGCTGTGTCTTTAATGGTGACATACTGATACCTATTAGTAAGGCAAGAATTGAAATATGCAAGCGCATGGCCTGCCGTGGTCTACTGGGTCAAAAGCTTTTCTTAGGTTAATAAAAGTTCCTAGTGGATATTCCTTATTTTCCACTGCTGTGTAAAGCAGATCTAGCATTTTTATAATTGCATCATTAGTGCTTTTATTTTTTTCTGAATCTAAATTGGCAGGGGTTGAGTATGTTTTGCGCCATTATAAATGAATATAGTTTCCTGTGCACGAGTTTCTCAAAGATTTTGGATAGCAATGGTAAGTTTGATATTGGCCTATAGTTGTTTAAATCTGTAGGGTCACCACCTTTATGTATTGGTGTAACCCTTGCTGTCTTGAGTAGTTTCGGGAAAGTGCTAGTTTCTAGTGACTTGTTAAAAAGTAAAGAAATAGCATGCGAAAGGACATGGGTCGCTCGCTTGTACAATACTGGTAGGACGTGAGACAGATTCCCCGAGTTATTTTTAAGTGACTTTATAATCTCGGTGACTTCCGTGGGGTCAGTTGGTACAAGATAGAAGGAATTTGGGAAATTCCCATCTAGGTAGTCCATGGCATGGGCATTGGTACATAGGATTTTATTGGCAAGATTAGATCCTATGGTTGAGAAGAAGTCGTTTATCTTGTTAGCTGAGTCAGTGGGATGCAGTGGTGTTTCATTAGGTTTAGTTAGGACAATATTCTTGTTTTTTTTTTCAGTTTGTGGGTCCCCAGAATCTGTGAGAGTGTTTTCCAAGTCTTTTTTATATCTCCTCTAGTGTCAGTGAATCTGCTGGAGTAATATAGTTGTTTGGCTTTCTTTATTAGTTTTGTGAGAACTGATGAATAGTGTTTAAGAAAATCTTTGTGTATTAAGCCCTGTCTATATTGCTTTTCATATTGGTGTTTCTTATCAATGGATTTCAGAATGGTGCTGGTTAGCCATGGGCAACCAAGCCGTTTGTTTGTGATCCGTTTCGTTTTTATAGGACAATGTTTGTTGTATAGTCTAAGTAATTTGTTAAGAAAAATCTCTGTCCAGGACAAATACAAGCTAATACACGAAATATTTATCTCTTGCTAAAACAAATAGGCCTATGAGGGCCTAAATTACTTTCCAGGTGGGATATATACCACAAAATAAAATAATATAATAGGTAAAATAAGGCCTATATATCGTCACCTGAAAGAAAAGGTAATAAAATCATGAGGGCAAAATTAATTTTTTGAAAAAAAAAATAGTCCTATGATGCCTAAATATGTCTCCAAGTGCGATACATACCACAAAATTGTATTAGATTAATTAAATGCTACACAACAAATGTTAGAAACATATTAGTGAAATATACAAGACGAAATTTCCTTCATTGGTCTAACATGTAGGTCTATGAAGGCCTAAATGACTTAGTAGGCTGTCAATAATAACACAAAATACCAACAAATAATGTTATATAAGTGGTAGACAAGAGCAGCTGGAAGAAATATATTGTTGAAAGATACAAGTTGAGGGAACATCAATGTTTATCATCAATAAAACAACAAAACTTAGGTCTATGACGTCATCAATATCTAACATCAATCTTAACATCAATATTTATCACATCATCAATCATCTCGGATCATCATCTCACATAAAACACAAGAAAAAACTAATAAACTCACCTGGTGGATAAACTTGTTGTTGTTGGGTTTGTTGTTTTTTTAGGGCCCCCTGACAACAGGTCGTACCAAACCCCCGACCTTCCATTTCCGGAAGACGATCCAACCCCAAAAGGGGACGGAAAAAACCCAGTGGTTCCCAAAATTTTTTCCGGGCTGCCCCCCCTCCCGACACAACCCAATAAATCAATCAATCAAGTTATTCTCTATAAAGATTACAATACGGGGGTTTACATTTTTTGGGATATTGGGGGGTTTTTACATGTTAAAAAATACTAATTACAGGGGGGGCCACTAGGACCCCCTAGCAGGGCTGGGAAATTTTCGGCAGATTTAGTTTAAATCTTACTCAAAATTTAAAAATACAAAATTTTGGGGGAAAACTGGAAATAAAGGTAATTTACTACTTACGTTTGTGATTTTAAAGCAATGTAAATGCTTTTTTTTTTGGCACAATACCGGGTTTTTCTACTTGTAAATATCACAGGCAAACTTATGACTAGTTGGGATTCATTTTTTAAGATTAAAAATTTCGTATTTCTCTGATTATAGTCAAGTGATGAGTGGGGGAAAGGGTGTGAACAGGGGTTTTTCATGTATTTTGTTGAAAAATTTAGACACATTGCAACTCTTGGGTATTTTTATGAGGAAACTTTTCGCCACACATTTGGCTTCATCACCCATACAAAGGAGAATTTTTGAAAATGGGGAAGGAGAATGAGGAAATTTCACCCCCAAACCCTTTGATCGATTGGTCGGGTCCATAAAACTTAAAATAGATTCAAATTCAAGATTGATGGCCCTGCCCAAACATCGACCCCAAGGTTTGGGGGACTGATTACCTAAATTCTCCTCCAAATTCTTCAAGATTCCCCTTTTGTATGGACTGATGAAGCCACTGTGTGGCGAAACGTTTCCTCAATAAAAATACCCCAAAAGTTGCACATGTGTCAATTTATCAACATTCCCGGGTTTCCCCGGGAAACCCTTCATCTACATGTAGTTAGTTTTTTGGGGTGAACAGGGGGATAAAATTTGTCCCAAGGTAGTTTAGAAGGTGATGAAATTCTGCAGTTTTAAGAATTTTAATAGGGGGTTCCAGATTTTTGGGCCCCTTTTCCCTGCATAGAAATTTTAAAAAGGTTTAAAATCGGGCAAAAGGGAAGTTATAGAGATGTTTGAACTGGGGGTTAAAGCCTATGGGTCCTGGGCCCCAAAATACCAAGAAAGCATTTTTGGTCACGGGTTTAAATTGGAAAAATTTTTGGGCCTAAAGATGTAATTGCACAGTAAGGGGGGATGCTCGAACGGGGGGTAATTTTTGAAACTATGAATAGGGGGGTTTGTTTTTTCCAGGGATGGGATTTATGATTATTTTTCCCCGGCTTTTGGGTTGGGGTATTATTGGCTTTAGGTGTGTTGCCCGCAGTTGATCTCATACAAAAAATAAAATAGGTGAGGAAGGATAAATGAGTTTAATGGTATAAATGTGAGAAGGGGAGTTTGCAGCACGTAGTATCGTATCTTTCTTGGAATTTTTTTTACTGCAAAAATTCCAAAAAGGGTACCTGGGTGTTAGTTTATTGGGATGGGTCTCATGCGGGACAAAAAAATTTTCTAACTTCCTAAAATGTTTCTATGTGGGAAAAATTTCCTGGACTGCCCCCGTGTGATTTTCCTACCCCCAGGAGTACGACTGATTTTATGGTAACGAAGTTTTTATTTTCCGGCTGCTTTTTTTAAGGGGAGGGTCAATCAGCTCCCCCGCAACCCCTCTCCCCCCTTTTTCCCCCCCCCGAAAGGTGAAATGTGGGGCTCCCGGGCCCAAAAAGTAATCACTCGACCACACCTCCCAGCACAAAAACCCAAAAGCCTGTGCCCTATTCCCATTGGATATATAAAAAGGGGTTTTCCCCGGAGAGAGTTCTGGGGTAAACGCCCCCCCCGGCCCCCGGCTGTGACCACCCCCTGGTTTGATCAGAGAAATGATCAAAACCCGGGTTTTTACTGCTTTGGGTCATGCAAACCAAGTACGACCCACCCGGGTGGGGCCCGGAAAACCCACTTTAGGGGGCTTGTTTCCCGTGCCAGCTTGAAAAACTGCCAGGGGCCCGTTGGTAATCCCCCTTATGTATGCTGGGAGGCAGTTAAAACAGTCTCGGGCCCCTGAAAATTATTTTATGGTCTCTTAACGTCCCTAGTGACACCCCTGCTTTTCAAGGGGGGGATGTTGCATCGTCTGCTGAGTCTTTTTGCTTTCGTTTGTGAGTGATTTTCGTGTGCAAGTTCAGTACTAGTCCCTCTAGGATTTTCCAGGTGTATATAATCATGTTTCTCTTACGCCTGCGTTCCGGGAATACAGGTTCAGGAAACCCTCAAGCGCTCCAGTAATTGAGGTGTTTTATCTCCGTTATGCGTGCCGTGAAGGTTCTCTGTACATTTTCTAGGTCAGCAATTTCACCTGCCTTGAAAGGTGCTGTTTAGTGTGCAGGGAATATCCAGCCTAGATAGAACAAGTGACCTGAAGAGTGTCATCATGGGCTTGGGATCCCTAGTTTTGAAGGTTCTCATTATCCATCCTGTCATTTTTTTAGAGATGTGATTGATACAATGTTATGGGCCTTGAAGGTGAGATCCTCCGACATGATCACTCCCAGGTCTTTGACGTTGGTGTTACGCTCTATTTTGTGGCCAGAATTTGTTTTGTACTCTGATGAAGATTTAATTTCCTCGAGTTTACCATATCTGAGTAATTGAAATTTCTCATCGTTGAACTTCATATTGTTTTCTGCAGCCCACTGAAAAAATTTGGTTATGTCCACCTGGAGCCTTGCAGTGTCTGCAATGGAAGACACTGTCATGCAGATTCGGGTGTCATCTGCAAAGGAAGACACGGTGCTGTGGCTGACATCCTTGTCTATGTCAGATATGAGGATGAGGAACAAGATGGGAGCGAGTACTGTGCCTCGTGGAACAGAGCTTTTCACCGTGGCCGCCTCGGACTTTACTCTGTTGACTACTACTCTCTGTGTTCTGTTAGTAAGGAAATTATAGATCCATCGACTGACTTTTCCTGTTATTCCTTTAGCACGCATTTTGTGCGCTATTATGCCATGGTCACACTTGTCGAAGGCTTTTGCAAAGTCTGTATATATTACAGTTTCAGTTTCAGTTTAATATGTTTATTATGCACCCCATACCCATCCTGTGGGCGGTAGTCAAAAGATTACAGAGGTACATAATTGGTCCAGGGACTGGACTCCAAAGTTTTATAGTAGAAGAAAATAATGAACAATCTGTCAAAAGACCCAAATACAAAAGGTAAATACCCAGGGGGGAAACTGGTCACATAAAGAATTTTTAAATTTCAAAAAAGGGAATGAAATTTTAAAACATTAATTTAGGAATTTACAAATATGATCCAGG